CCCCCGCCTACAACAACGCTCCGGCTACTGTTGTGAACAGCGCCCCTGCTACGACGGCTACGACTACTGGCGCCAATGGCGCGTCCACTGCGAACGCGAACGCCAATGCGAATGCGAACGGCGGCAACAGCCCCTACTCGACCAAGACGGTCTCCGTCACGAACGGAGACGGCACGTCGAACACGGCGTCCGTGTCGAACGGAAATGGTGCCGCCGCGACGGGTGGTGCATCAGCGAGTGCTACGGCCAGCGCCAGTGCGAGTGCGTCTGCTCGGGTCACGGCTGGAGTGGGGGCCACGTCGTCTCAGAAGACGTACTGCCAGCTTCGCTCGGTGGAATGAGCGAGGCAAGTGTACCCTCTTAGGGGAGCTCGTCGAGGTGCCGTGAGCACCTCTTGGTGAACGAACGGGCTTTGTGTCGCGTGCGCGGTTTCGAGTCGTCTTGCTGTGATTTTCTCCTCGTAGCGTATGATGGATGTTGTTCTTTTGGTCGTTTGAGTAAGGAGTTTCAATGCAATGCAATGCAATGAATTCGAAGGTTTGTGTGAGACTTTGCGCATTCGAGTGCGTGTTGTAACAGCACAGTTGTTGGCCTGTGGTTTTGTATATACGCACCCGGCAGCAGGCAGAGAAACAGAAAAAAGCAAACACCTCTGGACAGTATGCTTCTCGTTGCGCTCGCTTGTCGCTAGTGTTAGATCATACCAAAGTCAAGGCAGCAATTCGATCCGATACTTTGGGATTTCCTGGTCTCCGATTGGTTGAGTGCAACTTCAACAAAGAACATACAAATACTAGTATGAAGCAGATCATTCAAAATCAAAGTAGAATCGCCAAGGCCGGGCCAACACGAGCCGAGCCGAGCCGAGCAGAGTACAGCCGAGCAGAGTAAAGCAGAGCAGAGCCAAGTAGCCTTTGAGGTTGCAGTATGTAGTAGCATCAACCGTGTACGCAGGTTATCATCGTTCAGCGTGCCGCGCCTTCGCCACGTGTCGTCCACATCAAGAAGCTTGCCAAGGCCTCGACACTACAGTTCCATCACCATTGGTGATTCACCAAGCTGAGCCGTGGAATGCGAATAAGAACGGGTAGAGAGTAGGAACCGACAAAAGGTCCCCGCCATACAGAAATTCGGGCAAAACATACAGAGGTGCGCATCCAAAACATACATACAAAAACTGCACAAACGCCACATGTTTGGATTAGCACACGGCGTCGATCTTGCCAAGAAGCCGCATTCGTAATCTTGCCAAGCAGCAGAATTCTCGTAACTCCGCCGTGGGGCAGAATTACTTTTTCACGCTTGTACTGCATAGCAAGGCAAAGTCCGTGTCGAACTATGCACTGAAAATTTAACGGCGGTGATTAAGGCAGTGTAACAAGGCTCAATGCTTGCTCACAAAGTTTGTATACGCAGTACACTGGCATTTGTAGTCCGTCAATCGAAAAGCCGATTGATGGAATTTGAAATCCTGGATTCTCCAGAAGAGCCTGATTGATGTATTAGCTTAATCACTCAATCGGAAGACATTCGATCTACGTCTGTAGATTTCACTTCTGAATTTCGACACAGGGACGCGTATCGCCAGCTCCATGACTCGCTACCCTCGTTACGGTTTCCCGGGCTCGACTGATACGTGTTGCAGAAGGACGATGGGACTTCCACGAGGGGGCAGCGGGTATACTGGGCGAAGAAAGCAACCAGCTCCTACTGCGATCTTAACAAGCATGTCGTGTCAATTCAAGTGCGTCGGAGTGGCAGATGCAACTTATCTCTGCCGCGACTCGAGGGTGAACGGCAGCAGTATGATTCCTCGTATGTACGAAATCGGCCGAGCGCAATTGCGAGAAACACGGTCCACGGTTGCGACGATCCGTCCACTACCGCTGCTGCATGTGAGGTGGCTTCTTTTAGTGATCATGCGACTGGCGAAACTGCAAGTGCTGCATTCCATGTACCTGATAAAAGTGCTGCTGTGCAGAAGGGCCTGGCCTGCGTGAAAACTACATGGAAAGTTTTTGCTATCATCGACAGGACTGCAGTCGGTCGAGGTTTTCGATACCGCGTTAAGTGGTGTGACGAACTGGATGGTCATCGGTGGGAAGACACTTGGGAGCCTGGTTTCATGTTACGCAAGGATGGTTTTAGCGATGGTTGCAGTATTGTAGACGCATGGAAAGCTTCCGACGAGGCAGACTTCTACCGCTTCTGCAGCAAGAATGGGCATGTCCATTTAGTGGGAGCTTCGCCTAAAGGTATGTGCGCCGTTTTATGCTGTAGGTGTCGCTGCGAAGCTACTAGGGATCACTGGCTGGAACTCGTCAAGCGTGGCTCAAGATTTTATTTCCTACTGCGCCAACCGGGGTCGGCCTATTTCTCCTAGTGGATTAACCTACGGTGAGCTTCGACACTACGTGAGATTTGTGAATGGGCGTAATACCACTGGAGGACAGATCAGTATGTCCGCACTGGACAAAAACTTACTGGGTGGAGTGAATGGAAAGCTGGCCGGCCAACGTCTGCGTGTAATCGATTTAACGGAAGGTGGATACGTTTGTGCCGCATTCAACTTGATGGGAGTAAGCCATTGTATCGCCATCCACGTTGTCTGTGGTGAGAAGTACGTCTACGATGAGGAAAACGATTCGGTCGCTTTAGGCGCCTATGATTTGGACTGGATTTACGGGATCTCTTTTCTGCGTAGAGTGGCGTTGTACGTCAAGTGATTGCCTTTACAGCGATGCTGTCACAAGTTCGAACATCGTTTTTTTATAGGGAGTTGTTGCCGTCTGCGGGACTAACTCACACAAGGTAGCACCCTAAGTATCAATACGTATTTATATACAGTGAGTTCCATCTCGTTTTCATTCTTTTTTTTGATTGCAGCTCACAGATCGACAAATATTTACAGTGTATTCTATTAATACAATGGGTTTCATAGAATTTTCATTCCTTTGCAGCACACAAAGCGATCAATTACGACGATGCGTCTTCACCAAGCAGTCTGGTTGTATGCTTCCCTCCACGGCAACGATTATGCGCGAGCGTACGCTAAGGAGCGACTACAACTGTCAGAGGATGCTCGTCGTGTCCGCGATTCGAAGTGGCTACTTAACAAAGGGGGTGTCCGTCTTCGTGAGCAGTGGCGTGCGCTTCCTTCTCCAAAACGGCGACGGCTTCTTCAGGAGACACCTGACCTGTCGTTTCCAGAAGGGGTTGATGGAATACTAGATGAAAGGCGTCGAGTTCCAGACCCCCGCTGCAGAGCTCCCACCAAGCTTACAAGATGCAAATCAAGTGATCGCTACACATGAGCTCGAACCTACGACCGCGACCCCCGCTGCAGAGCTCTCGCCAAGCTTACAAGAGGCAAATGAAGTGATCGCTACACATGAACTCGAACCTACGACCGCCACCCTCGTCACAGAACCTACCTCGACAGAAGAGCGGTCGTCTCCTGCGATTCAACTCTCGCCGTCAGTCTTGAAGTCCGCACGGGAGTTGTCTGCTACTGATATGACATCGCCAGATGTGGCCGACAAAGTAGTTCGCATGGCGAATGCACGCAGCAATTACCACCAAATACTGTGCGAAGAGCATCGATTGCGTGTCCGCGCTGAATACAACCGCGGAAGCCTCGCAGGGGTGCTCGAGTCAGCGGCATCTAGTGTCATTAGCGCTGTGGCTCTAGCTAAGGCTGATTGCCCAACAACGAGTGACGAGGCTTTTGCTGCAGTTTGTACACGACTTACGTGTGTTCTAGGAACGATGTTGGGAACAGCTCA